CGCGGGTATGTATATACCCAAGAATTTGTTATTTGACTAATTGCATTTTATTTTTTTCCTAACTATCCAATACCTACTGAAGAAAATATTGTAATACCCGGTCGACGTATATACGTCAAGTGGAAATACCCAATGTATCGACACACTTATATACCCGGTTGTGTAAAAAAATCTTGGAAAATATTGTACATACCCGGTCTACATGACATATATCTAAAGTAAAACATGGCTACGTATATATCCGGCTACGTGACATATAGGTATCTAAAATATAACCAAAATATTTCGAGTACAAAACATATATACCTAAGATATTTTGGGTTATGTACGTATATACCTAGTGATTTATTCAACATATGACCTTCATTATATGCAAAATGATGCACGTACGATGAGACATGCATGGACTTAAAACATGGGCCATTTATTACTGATTTTCTCTATCCTATCTAATCTGGGCAGGTATTAAGTGTCCATATCAAGCAATAATTCTTTCCTAATAAGATTTATCCATCAATGCTAATACTAATTACACGCGCACAGATCTTAGTGTCATCCAACGGTTTTTAAGCTAGGTGCCTAGGCACCAAGGTGTCCCAAACTGGCGTCCTATATATATATTGGCGAAGCCATGTCGATCTCAGCGTGATTGGGTTAGTCGGTGAGGATGCTCCGGCTGATTTGGCTGTCGGAGGAGGGGAAGAATATCTTAGGCGTATGGAGATGGAGCCCGGGGTACTTCTCTGCTGTGATGGAGAATTTCGTCGTTGTAGCAGCTCCGGTGAGTTGTACAACAACGAGGCTGAAGTAGGACGAGACAACGTTAACCTGAGTGGAATTCTAATAGCATCTTCAATAGATGACGTAAAATAAATAACCACAAAGTGCTAGATGTAAAATACACCAGCCGCTCATCTCTGAACTTAACTATCAAAACTGAATTTAACTGTCGAAACTAAATTTTGCTCTTGAAACTGAATTTAATATTGAAACTGAACGCACTAGTAGCTGAATAGTAGTAGCAGCAGCAGCAGCGCGTGCGAGAGCCGTGGCAGCTGGTCGTGTCGCAGCATCTCGGGTAGCTGCTGCAGGGGCTCGAGGGAGAGCAGGATCTGCTGGTCGTGCAGCAACAACGCGCAGAAGAGTAGAGCGGCAGCAGGGCGCGCAAGAGTAGAGCAGCAGCGCAAGCAAGAGCGAGAGCAGCAGCGCAAGAAAGAGCAAGATTGAGAGCAGCGGCGCAGGCAATAGCAAGGGCAAGAGCAATACCAAGAGCAGACCAGGCAGGGGACTGAGAGTAAGAGCAGAGCAGCAGAGCGAGCGAGAGCTAAAGCAACATCAGCTCTTACTGATGTGGACGTCGCCGCCAAGGGAGCGACGCCGTGGAGGAAGTGGCCGGCGACGCCGCCGTGGATGGAGCCGCGTCATGTCAGCTCGGGACCGAGTGCCGGCAGCACCGTGAGATCGAATCAAGAAGAAAATGCGATGATTAGTGTACAACCTCTTTGGTGGCGCCAATTAGGCCTCAGCATCATCCGAGGAAACGATGATGATGCTGCTCCTCCGGTGGTGCAGGTGAAGACGGCGGTGTGAGAATGGAGGTGGCCCGAAAGAGGAGGGGAACATCGGGGCAGCTCCTTAGAGATGGAGGACGGGTGGCTAAACCGGCGAAACGATGAGATTGACGACGGATACTCATTTGGTACGGTGGATGAGGGGCGTCGAGGTGTTGCTGTGGATGACGTCGTCGGGGAAGAGAGCTCCGGCTGGGTGGCAGACAGAGGAGGGTGTGGGGCTTCGCGGGTTTTCGCGGTCTCGGTGTACGAATGGGTGAGCGGATGGGATGGGAGTGGGGAAGCATGGCTTAGGGATGCGCTTGTCCGAACTGTGAGGTAAGTTACGAAAGTACCCTCACCGATTTGAGCTAGGCAGTTCTTTCGGTTCAGGGGTATCAGGGCATTTCGCGTGCCAGGATTACGCAGGAGGTGGGAGTTTTCGCACGCGTTGTAATTTTGGGATAGTAAGGCGCGGGTTGAGATGGAGAGAGTTTTTGGAGCACAACGACACAAAGATATATCTTAAATATTTCAGGGTAACAAGACTCGGGTTAAAATTTCCGGACAAACCTAACATGTACTGTACCAAATCAATTTGCACTTCCATCGATGAAAAAACAAGAAGAAATCAATTCGCACCAACAAGAGAGTCTAGTCCCGTGTATTGTACCAAATCAATTCGCACTACAAATGCCATTCAAAACTTTGAATTCATGTTATGTTCAATTAAAATATTTTGCTACGTGTATAATGCATGCAACCTGCTACTCAAATGAACGTTTAATGCATTCCAAATGTATATACTACCATTTCAATCTTATCTTATATATATATATGTCCGCTAAAGTGAGCCCGAGTGTAGAATAAGTTACCCTACGCGCTGACCCCTCCAGCGAGCGCCCCCTTTAATTAACTTACGACCCACACACTACAGCGGCCTTAGGTTAGTGGGAGGAGGAGGCGTGATACAGACTATGGTTTGTGTCAATGGTAAAAGAATTAATTCCATTACGATATACTCTTACTTTCCTTCAGAGCCGTGAGCCTAGGCGTAGTGTCGCCGCAGTAATGGATCAACGGTAATGGAATTTAATTCTCTTACTATGATATACAAGCCTTGTTACCCTTGGTACAAGGGCCCATTTGACTAGCAGAGGGGAGGCGACAGACGGAGAGTGACACGCAATGGTAATTTATTTAATTTCCTTACTATAAAGTGCTTATATGTTTACTATCATTACAAGTAGTGGTCCCTATGGCTGGTGTCAACGGTAATAGAGTTTTTATCCATTACTGTAATATAGAAGCCTTATTACCTTCATTACCACCATCATTTAAGTATTATAATGGCTAAATGATTTTACTTTTTGAGGACAACTATATAATGATGTTAACTATGTTACCGTGTATGATAGATTATTTGTCGTTGTTAATGAAACAAGCCACAGGCGGATTGTGGTGCCGTTCTGCTAGTAATTTTTTTAGTTATGTTACCATTGTATCCTAACATCATTACTGCCATTAGAGAATAGGGGTTGTGAGGCAAAAGTGCAGCGCTATGCTGCCCGTAATAAAATTAATCACTTTACCATTGCATGCTACCATTTTTACTGTCATTAGCGAATGGGGTCGCGAGGTGGAAGTGTTGCGTTGCGCACCCAGTAACAAAATTAATGATGTTACTATATATACCAGTGTTTATTACTAGCAGTACTAATGGATGTGGTTCGGTTGGTCGAACGGAAGATTAGGTAGAGCGGGCGGAGCGCACGATTTGCACTTTTACGCGTTCGCTCACTTTAACGCCATCGTATATATATATCAACCATATATATATACCCCCTAGTAACGCTATGTACAAAATCTAGTAAAACGGTGTACAACATGTAGTAATTCAGAAAATATTTTTCTTATCATCTATGTTTGTAATTTACTACATTTTAATAAAAATTACTATATTTTACATAATGTGTTACTATATTTTATGTGTACCGTTACTGGAGTGTAGAATAAGCTATTCTACAATAACACTAAACTAATAACATATATATATATATATAGATCTATTCTAATAACACCCCTTAAAACCTTATTATAATAAAACTTTTCTTATTCTGATAACACCTCCACTCGCCCCCACACCCACGATTGTTTCAACCAAAACCCACCTGCCTCCTCCTCTCGCGCACACCCACCTCCATCTAGCACGATTCCCCTACCCACCCACCCCCCCCCTCCTACACCTCCCGTCCGGAGCCGCCCTGCCTCCTAGGCTCCTACACCTCCCATCCGGCGGCGCACCGCCTCCTTCCCCTACCATCCGAAGCCGCCCCGCCTCCTACTCCTCCCGTCCGGCGCCGACCCGCACCGCCGCCCGCCAACGGCCCCGGCCCCGCCCCGCTCCAGCCATGGCCACTGCCCCCGCCATGTGCTCGCTGGCATCAATGGCCCCCGCCTGACCCCTCACCGCCGATGGCCTAGATCCTCCCCAAACCGGCCGGATCCGAGGCTCTCTGGATTCAATGTGTGACTTTGTCGCGCGGGTGGGCAGGGGGAGAGGCATGTGCGCCACCGCAAGTTGGACGTTGTGGTGCCCCTGACCTCAACCTCTGCCTCGTTCCTCCACCTTCAGGCCAGATCCGCCGCCACGCAATGGATCCAGCTCCTCTGCCCCTATTTCTCTTCGCCGGGCAAGGTGCCAGGGCTTCTCCCTAGCCGGCCATCCTCTGTTCCCCTTTTCCTCTTTCCCCCTTCGCCGCTGGAGCAGCACGGGCGCGGCGGTGCAGTGCACTATGACTCCACGTGCAGTGCTCTACGACTCCACATGCAGTGCAGATCGATTATTGCTCGCCTACCGTTCAATCGTAGTACATCCCAGCCAGGAGTCGTCGCCCTACCTGTTGTATCCTATAATTAACTCTGTAGTTCGCTTTGTATGATCGATGGCTGTTTGGCAAGAAGTGCAGTTCCCACCTCCTCCCCCGACGGCACTCCTTGTGGCCTCAGCTGGCTTCCCCACCCTCCTCTTTCCCTCCCGGCACCGTCCTGCAGTTCTCTCCATGTGCGGATGCAGCCCAAAACCACGCGCATGCAGCTCGCTGTACGTCAGCCCTTTGAGTGTAGTATACTTCCTCTGCACAAAACTGATGCGCGTCGGTCACGGCCATTCCAACGCTTCCTCTTGGATTTTTTTTACGTGCGTGATTTGGAACCTCTGCACACAGATCGCGACGCGTAAGGCGCACACTCTCGCGTGGGAGCTTGCGTGCATGCTTGGCGGGCAGGCGTGATGGATGGATCACTAGCTAGCTAGCTTGGCTTTGCTTTCTGAACCTCATGAATCCATCGTTGATGCACTCTGTGCGTTCTGCAGGTTGGACAATAGAGCACTGACTTCAAGGCGTGTGTGGTGGAGAGCGGCAAGAAAGAAGCAGATCCGATGCATGCATGGGGGTGAAGTGCCCGGTGGTGTGCGACGAGGCCGTGGTGCAGCAGCTCCTCGCTCTCAAGTGCCCCGACACGGCCACGCGCTTCGACCGTTTCCTCCTCGAGTCGTACCTCAAGAACAATGACTCGGCGAAGTGGTGCCCGAGCATCCCGCACTGCGGCCGCGCTACACCGAGGTGGAGTGCCCCTGCGGCCTAGGGCTACATCGTTGTCTGTGTTTTGCGTGGTACCCGGCTTGGGGCCTATGTTATTGTACAATGTAAAAATAGCATGAAAATGAAGTGCACTTCTGTTGTATCCAAGTGCAAAAACAAAATTGGGAGAAAGTTAATTGGAAAGGGATGACTTTTTATGCAGCTCACTCTGTTGTGTGCAGTAGAAACAAAATTGGAAAAAAAATTGATGCAGTACACTCACCTCGTCCCTGCAATCCATACTCGTTGATGAAAAATGTTATGGAAACGATAAAAGAAAAAGAATGTGGTTCATTTTTCATAGTATTGTGGTTCACCAACGCTCGACATGAAGTGCACTCCATCTTGTTTGCGAACATTTACGTCTCATAAAAAAAATTACGTCCCACAAAAAAGAAATCATGCAGTGCACTTGTCTGTTCAATGAAGTGTGGTTTTTAGTCTAAATAAGTGTGGTTTTCTGTCTGATGTTGTACGACCTGTTTATGGTAGTTTCGAGGTTCACTTTTCATAAGTATTGTGGTTCACCAGCACTCGACATGAAGTGCATTCCACCTCGTTTAGGAAAATTTACGTACCACAAAAAAGTAATGCGGTTCACTTCTTGATAGTGTTGTGGTTCATTTACACCCGACGTGAAGTGCACTCTACTTTCTCGTCCTTGAAAAAATTACGTTCAAATAAAAGAAATCATGCAGTTCTCTTGCTCGTCTAATGCAGTGCGGTTTTCCGTCCAATGCAGTGCGGTTTTCCGTCCAATGCAGTGCGGTTTTCAGTTGGATGAAGTACCCATGTCGATTTGGGTGTCGCAAAAAATAGTGTCCGCATTTTGGTAAATTTAAAACTTCTCTTAAACCGTAAGAAATTAGAGAGTGTTCTACATGAAAAAGTTGTGTCTCGTCGATATTTTTCCAACGGCATATCATTTGAATCATTTCAACGACCGGTTTGTAAAAATTTCGTGAAAAACGGCCGCTGCCACTTGTCGTCTGCCACACGATTTTCAAAATTAACTTAAAATTGTAAGGAATCTCAAAACCATTTCTACATATGAAAGTTGTGCCTTGTCCATAGCTTTCCAACGACATATTACATGCCTCGTTTCGACAAATGGTTAAAAAACTAGAGTGAAAACAATACTGAAAATTTGAATTTTTTTGAAAAACTGAATTCCACGATTTAGTAAATTTGAAACTGCTCTTAAACCGTAACGAATTAGAGAAAGAAATAGATATGAAAAAGATGCACCTTGACAATATCTATGCAACGGTGTATTATTTGCTTCATTCCGACAAGCGGTTTAAAAAAATGCGAAAAAACGCTCGCTGCCACTCGTTGTGGGCCGCACCATTTTCAAAACTGCTCTTAAACCGTGAGGAATCTCGAAAAGTGTTCAACATGGCGAAGTTGCGCCTAATCCATAGCTTTTCAACGATATATTACACGCCTCGCTCCGACAAACGGTTAAAAAACTAGAGGGAAAATAGTACCAGAAAGAACACTGTATGCAGTTTTTTGCCACGCGAAGTTCACTCGCCTCAGTACTGCAGTACTCTAGCTAAAGAAAGTGCACTGCCCTCGCGTTGAGCATCCAGTACGGAAGTGTTATCGGAATAGTTATTCTGATAATATTATCATAATAGACCAGCTATTCGTCACCCTGGGTAGGGTCACGCTATTCGTCACCCTGGGTGAGGAATTGTTAAAAGTTATCAAACAATATGAAATAAATATGAGAGCATCTCTCTAATGTAATAAGATGATCCAATGGAGGGATTGTCAAAATATGCATCTATGTGTCCTCGGACAAGCACTTGTAGAAAATCCTTAACTAGTTCTATGGCAAGCACTTGTAGAAAATCCTACATAACAGAATATTATTCTGTTACGTGTAACAGAATATTATTCTGTTACCCTACTTGAACTGATGAATTCAACTGGTTGAACTGATGCTTTCTGTTTCTGTTAAAAATCGTCTTCTTTAGTTCAAATGATACGGCGTGGGAAGTGATGGAAAATGCGCAACTTTTGCGTATAGAAAGTTTTTCTAATTCTTACAGTTTAAATACGAATTCAAATACGGTTAAAGTTGGTTTTGAACGCGATTTTGTTAAACAGTTTATTGAAATGAGGCAAATAATATACCATTGGAAAGCTACCAAAAATGTGAAACTTGGTCATGTTGAACATTTTCTCAAATTCGCAAGACGGATCCTGTTGTTTTCCTATCTGAAAAACAGAGTACTCGTATATATATATGTGTGTGTTTGTATTGAACTATTTTTGTAGAGTAATTTTGAATTGTTCTGAAAAAAGAGTACTTGTACTCATGTTTGCATGAGTTTGTACTAAGCAAACTAACTAGACTTTGCTCTATTTTTGGGTAATATTTTTTGCTCGTAAGTTTTCAACGGTTTACTATATCGTCGCCCCTGTACTTGCATGGTTTGTACCATCGAACTGAATGATATTTTTTTCAAAAAGAATGTGTTTTTTAATCCTTTTTTAACTAAACATATTTTTACAATGATGTTCTAGACTTCTTTTATTTTACGACTTGTACTTTTACCATTTGAATTGCATGGGGTTTCCGTTTGGTTGAACTTTTACAATTTGAACTCATGTGCTAGTAATACATGAACTCTCCACTACAATTTTTTTGTCAATCTGTGGACATCACCAAAATAGAAAGGGATAAATAGTAAGGATAGCAGAGAGAGCACTAGTAATACATGAACTCCTTATTTTTTCCTCCGTGAAATTGGCTAAGGGTTTGTTTTTCGTTCGAACTTACCATGTTTATCAATTTGAACGTTTCAAAATTTGCCAAGAATTTGAACTATTCACCAACAGCACAGACGAGCGAGAGAAGCAATAGGCGTACTTACTGGTTAGTAATATATTTACACCTAGGTGGTTATACATGACCTCAGAACATAAACTTCATTGAGCACTTAAAACACATAACATACAAGAATGAGGTGCGAAGCTGCGAATGCTGATGGATCAACACTTCAGATTTTGCAAGCACATAACAGTTCAATGTCAAAAGAACATCCACACATCCACGAACTTTGTAGAGGATACGCTTAAGTTCAACTTGTAAATACAAGTTGTGTAGCCCTCGTCAGCAACACAAAAATCTGTAGAAAAATGTACCCGTTCTCATGGGCATATCAACAAGTATGTTCAGAGAAAAATGTCTTATGCCCTTCTCCACAGAGAAACCACTCGAGTTCCTCTTCTTTTTCTCCTCGATGAGCCACTTAGACTTGAATTTGTACTGGCTGTCCACATCCAACAGCTTCCATGAGACGAAGTTGTGGTCGAGAGGCCACAGGCTTGGGCGATTCCTCAGCAACTCGTGCACCGTCCTGGGATGCGTTTGAGGTGAGACGCCCGCAAGACCACACACAGACAACGCCAAAATGCCAAGCATGGCCACGATCACGCACGCACGAACAGAACACACACATATGCGTTGTGAGCGACTCAATGAAGACGTGCATCTACATGGTCACATGGTTGCGCACGGAAGGTGCATCCCACAGTCGGCGGTGGTCCACGCAGGGGATTGAGGGAGCAGTTCGAAGGCGGGGAATCAACGAGGTCGCAACAGGAAATCAGCATGGCAGCGGCAACATATTCAGACATGTCAATTGTTAAGACGAATATGAGAGTTCAGAGCCAACTTCTGGTTTAGTATCAACATATTCAGAGTGAACTTAGCTGCCCATATTATAGCATGAGTTCATGGCAGAAAAAGGTGATACTCAAGATATTGAGCTAAACTAAAATTATATATTGAACTTAACTAAAATTATATATTGAACTGAACAAAAATAAGAATTAAACAGAAAATTATATATTGTGGAGTAACACACACAAATCGAACCATGAGCAAGAGTGTGAGGATCCATGAACCTGCCCCGATGATGTTTTTGAACTTCATTTTTCTGTTAACCGCACGTGTGAGGATCAACAAGAAATATATTGAATAAAAATCTATGAGAAAGAAACTTACAGCAAATTTTGTTGAACAGCCACCGGAGAACTCCTATAGGTCATACAGAAGATAAACCAAAGATGAGGTTAGTGTGGTGGAGCTGGTGCATTACAGCGACCTCGCCGGAGATGTAACACCCCAACATGCAAGCACCTCACATATATATGGGAACAGTGTTGGACTGCTATATTGAACTCACATATTGTATTTGAAACTTAGAACTACTCATTTTTTTTGAACTGCTATATTGAACTCTTTTTAGAGGTATGCACGTGAGCTTCCCAACTTTTCTATTTTTTGAATGAATCAATGGGGGTGTACCTTTTCTGCCTATTTTTGTATTTTACCATGAACTTGCCGGGTTTTGGAGTTCGAACTTTCTATGTGATTTTTTCAAACTTTTCCAAGTTTTTATTTAAATTCATAGATCAACAAATTGTTTTCTTTATATAGGCCTCAATGAAACGCTTTTTAACTTTTTTTTTGTACATCTTTTCTGGTTTCTGGTCTTAATCTTATTTCCCAACAATCTGTTTTTTGAACTGGTGTAAATTCATGTTTGATCTTACTAGCTCTTGGTCAGAAGAACTCAAGAACGAGATGGAACTAGAGACAGGTCAAATATGGCAAAAAAAAGTGCAAATCAAACTGTTTGTCCGATGGGCAAATGCACAAGTTCACATAAAAAGAACAAGTTCATGTACATTAATACTGAAGTACACAAAGATACCTAAATATAATTTATGTACTTTGAAATAGTTTGTTTTACTTCCAAAATACTTCATTTGTTTTGAAATATGAACTTCTATATTTATTTCCTTAGAACTTATAATAGAGTATGCAGCATAATTATGCTTTATATATGAACTTCTATATTTATTTCCTTAGAATTATGCTGCATGCCCACACAACATCAGACCCAATTCCTAAACTTGCTATACAATAGCGGCAGTGAATATTTTTTATTACCTTCTTTGTAGCGGTAGCATGAAGAACAC